CGATCGTTCCGTATGGCACCTGCATACCAGCTCGCTCGAAGATCAACTGGCCGAGTGTGAAAATCCACAGCGGCATAGTGACAAAGGCGGCCACATTGCTCACCGTTGTCATTAGCACCGAGAGATGAATGTTGCCGCCGAGCACCGCGGACCAGGTATTGGATGCACCGCCGCTGGGCGATATGCCAGTGAAGAAGAGACCCAGCTGCATGGCCGGAGCCTCGGGGAAGATGAATATGCCCAGAGCGTAGCTTAGCAGCGGCATGGCCACCACCTGCATCACGAATCCGATGCAGGGGCCGACTGGCCGCGTTACCAGTCCGCGCAGCACCTCCAGATTGAGAGCTGCGCCAAAGTTGATGTACAGCAGTGACATCAGCAGAACGATGGAGCCGATGAAGACGTGATCCACCACACGGCTCGGACGCTGCACCCTCACGTCCAGCGTGCTGTCATTGGTGCTCTGCGTGGGCAGCTGGCTGCTGTTCGACAAGTTGTCAAACAGACGGACTGTGATCTTGGTCTCGCCCAGAAAGTGGGCATTCACCCTGATGTCGCCCGTCCAGTCACGTGTGTCCGGATCGAACAGATCCACGGCTATGGTGGAGTTCTCGTCGGGCACACTGGCCAAATCTGTGTCGGCACTCTGCACGCGGAAGACATAGCGCTGGGGCTGCTGCATCGTTGATGGCGGCACATTCTCCAGCATGAGCGACACCCGTACAGCTTTCTCCATGCGGAACTGGACGCTGGATGGCCGAAAATGCGCCATCCAGGCCAGGGTATTGGGCGAGAGGCCCAGTGCGAGCATCAACCACATCCATCCCAGCACAGGTGATGCCATTTTTATATAATATATATGCAAGTGTGTAGCTTCCGCACGCTACAAGTGTCTGTCGCGTGGGGTCTGGGTGAGAGCTGGGCGGCGAGTAAATCTAATGGAAAAACGAAACGCACTAAAAACACACATTACAAATGCAATTGCAACTGTAGCCCCCCCAACACACACCTGCAGTTGGCCAGACAGAGATGACTAGATGCTGTCTGATTGTGCGATCGTTGATCTGAGCGTGCCAGAACGAGAGAAGCCGAGTCCGAAAACCGGCTAACAATCGCAACCGAAAATATCGACAAAGCCACATCTAATCTTGAATACCCTCTCTCCAGTGCCGCTCCCCAGCCATAAGCTGCTGATGTTGACACAAGTATTATTCTCAAAAAAAAGTGCTTACTCACTGAATCTCATGCGTGTTGAGAGATAATAAAAACTAAATGTGGACGGAAAACATTTGGCAGATTCGATTGAGCCGCAGGGCCACAAGGCCCATCAGCAACACTAATGTACCCGTACGGTAAAGGGGATACGCATGGAGAAGAAGAAGTTATTTTGGTGGGTTTCCCTCCTCGCTGGAAGAGTGTACGTGAGATGCGTTTTTATTGGAGCGTTTGGTGTATGAGTGTAAAAAAAGGCTAAAACAATGGATAAAACGTTTAAAAGGATTTGATAACTAGTTTGGGTCCGGGTCTGCTTCGTGTTTACTTAGTAGCGGTAGTGGTCGGGCTTGAAGGGTCCCGTCTTGGGCACACCCAGATAGCTGGACTGCTTATCCGTCAGTTTGGTAAGCTTGACGCCGAGCTTCTCCAGATGGAGACTGGCCACCTCCTCGTCAAGGACCTTGGGCAGGACGTGCACGCCGACCTTGTACTCGGCGGACTTGGTCCACAGCTCGATCTGGGCGAGCACCTGATTGGTGAAGGAGTTGGACATCACGAAGCTGGGATGGCCGTGGGCACAGCCCAGATTGACCAGACGGCCCTCGGCTAGCAGGATGATGTGACGGCCATTGGGCATGGTGTATCGATCGACCTGGGGCTTCACGTTCACCTTCTCCTTGGCATTGGCATTCAGCCAGTCAACATCGATCTCGATGTCAAAGTGGCCAATATTGCACACGATCGCATCGTCGGGCATGTTGAGCAGGTGCACGGAGGTGATGATGTCGCGGCAGCCGGTGGTGGTCACAAAGATGGACGCCTCCTTGCTGGCCTCCTCCATTGTAGTCACCTCGTAGCCTTCCATGGCGGCCTGCAGGGCATTGATGGGATCGACTTCGGTGACAATCACGCGACCACCGAATCCCTTCAGAGCCTGGGCACAGCCCTTGCCCACATCGCCGTAGCCAGCGACGCAGCACACCTTGCCGGCGATCATCACATCTGTGGCGCGCTTGATGCCATCGATCAGGGACTCCCTGCAGCCGTACAGATTGTCGAACTTGCTCTTGGTCACCGAATCGTTGACATTGATGGCTGGGATGCCCAGGCGGCCGTCCTTGAACATCTTGTAAAGGTTGTGGACACCGGTGGTCGTCTCCTCGCTGACACCCTTGATGTCCTTCAGGTACTGAGGGAACTTCTCATGCACCAGGTTGGTCAGATCACCGCCATCGTCCAGGATCATGTTCAGGGGCTTGCCATCGGGGAAGACCAGGGTCTGCTCGATGCACCACATGTACTCCTCGTCCGTTTCACCCTTCCACGCGTACACGGGCACACCAGTGGCCGCAATGGCTGCCGCAGCGTTATCCTGTGTGCTGAAGATGTTGCAGCTGGACCATTGGACCTGCAACAAGGGAGACGGAGAAGGTATTGAGATGGTGTGACAACAGCCGTTGCCATGTGGGGATGTTTTTCTTTAACAAAAAGTGTCAAGTCAGAGGAAATAACAATGCCTCAGCATCAGCATATCAATGGGAGCCCGAGCCCCCGTTGACCCTGACATGCGGCGCTTATCTTTGGAAGGGCGCCTTGAACTTGCCCCCCCTGGGGAAGCTGAGACTTTTGTTTTTCGGCCAACCGATTGTTACGCGTAAACAACACAAAGATAGGGAAGCGGATAAGGGGAGGAGGAAGAACTCACCTCAGCGCCCAGCTCCACGAGGGTCTCGATGAGCACAGCTGTCTGGACGGTCATGTGCAAGCAGCCGGTGATGCGAGCCCCCTTCAGGATCTTGGATGGCCCGTACTTCTTTCGGCAGGCCATAAGGCCGGGCATCTCGTTCTCCGCAATAATAATCGCCTTGCGTCCCCATTCGGCCAGACTGATATCGGCTGTCGTGTAAAACGTGGAAGAGATACGGAGAAGATAAGCAAATAGTTATGATGATGTGTCGGGAAGAATTAGCCTGGCAACAACGTGCGCAGCCTGTTCGCTCGCCACGCTCCTCTTTAACCTCAGAAACATGTGCAGAGTGCGGCGCGGCACATGGACATGGAATTTCTGTTCGCGCGCGCACATCTGCAGATGTGCCTGTTGCCGGCAGCAGGAGCAATGCTCCCAGCGGCATTTATTTTTAAACTCACCAACTTTGTAGGCAGGCTTCGACATGTTCTTGCAAGGATTTGGTTCTACAGGCGCAGAGGAGAAAGATTAATGCACAACCGAATTGAAGTTGCGGGCAGCGGTTAATGAAACAGTAATTAGGTTGTCCAAAATATATCAAAACATCTCTGTATCGATATTTTTCTATCGCGATAGTCTCGTTTGCAAAATATCTATATATTGATATTTTCATTTTATATTTTCCGATATTGTTGCGATCCTGTTTTGGTGTTGGGGCAAGGCCTACTAGCCAGTCATCCCAGGGCTGAGTTCTTCCCAGGCCCCCAGGTCGCACAACAAATCAACTGTTCGGACATCTCGAACAAATACGATAGCAAAACGATAATTTAAAAACAATGCATCGGACTTTACTCTACATCTAACGGACAATTATCTCTTCGACACAGACGTGGACAAGTTTGAGGTGCCGATGGTCTACCTCGGGCGTACTCTACTTGAGATCAGACTCAAAACAAACGAAAACGAATCTCCTTTCCCAAGTGCGGCGGCCTTTTTCCATTATGCTGTTGTGGTCCCCTTTCCCTCCATACACTAGCACTTCATTGCAAACAATATAATATTTAACTCAAAAACTTAATACATACTTAACTATAATTCCCTACACTAAATCTTGGTGGCCCTTTTCAACTTATATTATTTGGTGGAAATAAATAAGTGTAAATAGATATAAAGAAATAAACGTGAATATAAATTCAACGACTACATATAAATTGTTACATGAATATAAATAAATATGGGGACGGATATGAATTAAATATGTATATATATTATTTATGAATTTAATTATTTAAGTGTGGCGCTGTGGCGGACTCGCGCCCGGGCAGGGGTGTGACCAGGATTCCGCGGGCCGGGGAATGGTAATGTGGCCAAAAACAAAGGAGGCCAGCCCTGTTCTACATTTTCCCTAAGAGTTTTCCAATATTAAATGTTGGAATTAGTTCCCTCTTGAACGGACTCACTTTTTCTTGGATGCGGTTAAAAATCCTCTGAATTTTCCCGCCGGTCTGTTTTAATTTTTTCCGATTTTGTTCCGATTTTCTTCTCCACGGTCACACACAAAGGATCTAACGCTGCCGATATTTATTCTTTCACCAACATGCAGTTGGTGTAGCTGAGTCTATGCAGTCCCTCTTAATGCAGCGGCCTCTCTTCTATTGCCCTTGAACCAAGCTTAAGCTCAATGCCATACCATTTATTTGAGGACGTGGGTGAGCTGGCTCGTGGATCCGGCAATATATTCGAGCCTTTCTTCAACTCTCCTCTCTCTCTTTCTCTATCACCGACACCGTTGATCGCCTTGCCCCTTCACCTATCGACCGGCCAACCACCAAAAAAATACTTCTAAGTACATCTAGTATTTTGCCAATCGATTTCCTTCGACTGCAACATATTTTTCGATATTTTAGACTAAATTAGTGCTGTCATTGTGCAGTATCTTTCAACACACACTGGAATTCACATAATGAGAATTAACACAAATTATATGAAAATTCTATTAATGTACAAGTCTTTTCCAGTATATATTTAGAATTTCCTCCATCTCTAATCGCATATATTTGCCATCTCTAAGTGTTGTCACGACGTCAGCGATAGCAACAATCGATAGACCTATGACACAGCTTTGCCTGAGCGAAGGCAGCGAAAATATACACAGCAAAAAGTGAGAATTTGAGTGCGTTTTCGTTGGTCATAGCTGAAGCAAGCAATTAATCATCTTTAGCTAAGAACATGTCCGGCTCCGGTCTTGATGAAAATCCCTTTGGCGAGCCCAATCTGGACAATCCGTTTGCGGTAAGTCCGGAATGAAATGAAAAATTCGAGCCGACACACACACACAAAGTGAGTGAGTAGTTCATGCATGCGTGGGTGTGTGTGTGTGCTGCAACGACGACAGTGTCGCATATGTTTCATTTTCCTACATGTATATATATCCTGTATAACCCGTAGGATCCCGCCATACAGCAGGCAAGACGTCAGGCTGGCGCTGCGTTGGTTTCATTGGAGGACTACAATCCATTTGAGGAGCAGGCCAAGCCACAGCTTCAAATCAACTCCACGAACACGGCGGCTGTCGTTCAGCCGCTCTCACAGAACGTTCCACCCCCACAGACCAGTTCGCTGGGCGCCTCGGCGCCAAGCACTAGCATACAAATCACCTCGGAAGAGCTGCAGGTAAGTGCGTGCCCCAGTGTGGCAACCAGATCATTCATTGTGTGATGTGTGCTGTGCGTGTGTGCTAGATCACCACAAACAAGAGAAAAAGAAAAAAAAAAAAAAACAACATTCAAAGAAACCGGCACTAGACGACGGTTGGTTTCGCGTTACACGTCTCCAGAGCGGAATGTACAGTGAATGCTCGTCACTGTGAGTCGCGGTGCCATACTTTTTGTTGGATCATGCGAGCAAATGTTTTATTGCAGAACCCCCCCATCAGATAAAGCCGTAGCCGTCGTTATCTACCTACCGTCTTGTTTTATGATAAATGTATCCGTCCACAAATTGTTCTTATTGTATCTTGTGAGAAAGATTTCCCGGCAGATCATCAATGGGTACGCACTGTAACCCTTCTCCGCCTGTGGTTGCATTGCTGGGGCTGCCATATGTGGGCGTTGCTTAGGGGCAAAACGATTATCAATGAATGGCAAACATTATGCTGATAATTCCTCTCTCTCTCTCTCATTCTCCCTTTGTATTTGCATCGATGTAGCGACGGCAGGAGGAGCTGGACCGCAAGGCTGCCGAATTGGATCGCCGTGAACAGCAGCTTCAGGGGAATGTGCCACAGCTGAACAACTGGCCTCCGTTGCCGGATAATTTCTGTGTGAAGCCGTGCTTCTACCAGGACTTTGAAGTCGAGATACCCCCAGAGTTCCAGAGACTGGTGAAGCATTTGTACTACATTTGGATGTGTGAGTATCGTGTGTAGTGGTTTTTCATTAGCAGCTGATAAGCCGCCGATCGACCGACTGGGATTAGTCATCCATAATGGAACGTAAATACATACATTTATGAATGTTTTATTATTGATAGATTTGATTCGGTTGAAAAAGTGCAGGCCTTCTGCCGGTAACCTGAAATGTTTACTAATCGCAAATTAACACTCTGTGTCTCCGCTCCCACACAGTCTATACCATGACGTTGGTGGCCAATGTGATTGGTGGTCTCATCTTGCTGTTCCATTCGGGTGATTTTGTCACCTTGTTCCTGGCCCTGTTCTACACAGTTCTCTTCACGCCCGCCTCGTATGTTTGCTGGTAAGTGCTGATGTGGAAAATATATTTTATTTCAATATTTTTGTAACTCTCTTTGTGTCTTTGGATAGGTTTCGGCCCGCGTACAAGGCATTCCGCAATGATTCGAGCTTCAATTTCATGGTCTTCTTCTTCATCTACTTCTTCCAAACCATCTACTCGGTGGTGCAGGCCGTTGGCTTTGATAAGATGGGCTATTGTGGCTTCATAACGGCCATATCTCAGTTTGATGGCCAGGCGGCGGGTATAATTGTGGGCATCTTGCTGCTAAATGTTGCCTTCTGCTTCACGGCCGTGGCCGTGGCCAATATACTGATGATCACCAAGATACACACGATCTATCGCAGCACTGGGGCCAGCATGGCCAAAGCACAGGCGGAGTTCACCACGGAGTTTCTGCGCAATCAGCATGTCCAGGAGGCAGCCTCATCGGCGGTCAATACGGCGATCAGTTCGCAGTTCAACAACAGCAGATACTAAGCTAAACAAACAAGAGACAATCAATCAATGAATCAATCAATCAACCACATTGTATTTTGGCACATGGAGCCCACCAGCTTCAGCACTCATCCACAGAGATAGTTGGCTTCGAAAATCGGCACAGAAAGAAAGGAGAAAGGAGGCGCAACACAGCGTAAAACAGAAAGAGATAGAAAGAGAGAGAGAGCGGAAAGCGGAAACATTAATAAGAATACAACTAAATAAAGCATTGAAAAAGAGAGTAAAACTGGAGAGGAAGGAGCATTGAACTAATAACTAATTGCTTTTGTGCATAAATAATTCCTAGAATGCCGTCGTCTTTATTGCAAATAATTACTGTAACGATATGATAGAACACCAAACCACACCAATAATTAACAAAATACTTTATAGAAATGATACAAAAACACCAACAAACAACAAAAACAAACAACTGAGAACTAAGTAATAGGAAGCAGAGAAAACACTTATGTGCCGTGAGACAAGTGTCCGAAATTCAACTTTAAAAATATAATATAATATAAATTACAAAGGAAATACAATATCTGAATATACGCCTAGGTATATGCATATATACAAGAATGCTACGAGAACTTCGAGAGTTTTTTTGTGTGTTTTTCCTAAGAAATTATTAATTTATACAAGAATTTATCCAAACACGGATATACACATGGATATTGATAATGAAGGATGACGATGTTTTCTAGTTCTTTAAGTACCACGCGTCACACCTCCTTCGCCCACACACACACACACACATACACATACATTCAAGGCATACATATATACATATAAAAATCTATATATATATACATTATACGATTATACATATAATATAAATAATATATTTAACGCTTTAAATTTATCTCTTGTCGCCTGCCCCAACTCTCACACAGAATGAAATCAAAAATTGAATTTTGATTACTCGTCCATGCACGCCTTCCGCCACCAACCACACGCCCACGCCCACGCCCTTTGCTCTGTTCTCCACACTCACATTTAATGTCGTGTCGTGTTTTTTTTTGTAATCGTAATTGTTATATATTATATATATCTATGTATATGAAGACAGCATATAAAATATTGATTCACCCATTTTCTAGATACAATTATTTTATGTTTTTTATTGCCCCCCCCACACCCTCTCCCCACTCCTGCCTTCCGTTTGCTTGCAAATCGAATTAAAACAAAACAAAACAACAACTAAAAGTTATGTTATGGCATATATATTTATTTGTTCTTTAAAGTGAAAACGCGACGATGATCTGTCGATTGTGTATTTGAAATTCAAGCAAAATTATGATAAATTCAAAAATAAATATAAATACTTATAGATGTAAGGAGACGTTTGGCAGCGTTTTTGGTGTGGATAATTTCCTGCGAAAAGGTTTCCAAGAAAAGACAGTTTTCCTAAAAGATCTGAGAGATCTAATGTAAATGGTAAATATTGTGGGGTTTTCTTTGGATTCCTCGGGGTTGGGTAACAGCAAAACCTCTGTAGGAGTCTACGTTTTAAGACGCTTCAGAGATATTTCAAGTCAAAATGATAGAATAAACTTCCGTTTGGTCACATAATCTCTTTTCGAATCTAAAAGATCTTTCAATATTGCTGCAATAGCTTACTTTTTCCTTCTCTTCGCCAGTATACAATTATCTGACCAGCATGTGTTCTATAATCGTTGGTATGACAGGCAGTCCTTCCATTTCTTAAATGATTTTAGAGCCAAAATAATTTGTTTCTCTCAATGTTTTACGTAAAAAATCAGCGGAAATCTGATCTACACACTCGTACATATATGAATATGGCAAACCTGTTGAGATTTATTTTGCTTATGCATTCAAAGGGCAGAACATTCCCGTATAAATAAAATATTGGATCCCTTAAACATTCATGGGAATAGGTTTCAGTTGTCGAGACCGGGGAATCTGGGAATTTACCTCACCATAAGCTCCCGCACAAGTGTTCAACCAGTCCAACCCCATGGGCCCACATTCTAACCCCATCTCTGATTGATTTGGATTTCCCGACTGATTGATATTCCCATAAGTGTGATGGTGGTGGGTGGATTGTGCCTATCTCCGAGACGTTTGTCACCGAGAGATGAAAATTTCATTTGGCAAATGTTGAATTGAATCAACAACAGCAAATGGTTGTGTGTGGATTGCCACACACACATGTACGCTGCTCCTCCCTTTTGGCCTATCAAATATTTGTGTGAGACATATATAGACTTTACCCTACCCCACCCTAACCATCATCCATCTCCGCCCTCCTGCTCTGGCATTCGGTTTAGGCAAAAATTGCGCATACGCCACGTTGAGGGAATATTTGCAACGATTTGTTTGCCATTTTGCTGGCAATGGAGTGGGCCGCAGAGCAGAGTCTATGAATAGCAGTGGAGGCTTGCTTCTGGTCGGTGTCGACGATGGCTGCAGGTTGGGGAGAATGTAACCCCATTTGGATGCAGTATAAAGCGAGAATGATGAGCAAATATGCTCAAGAGTTTTGCTGCTGCTCATGCTGCTCATGCTGCTGGCTGGTCCGTCCATTGCAGCGTTGTCATCGTTAGTGGCAAATCCATTTTGGCACACTTCAGGCGAGAGCCTGCATCACTCACGTGTTGCAGCTGAATCCTCTTGCCCCAAAAGTGGGCCACCGGCGTAGGCAGAAGCCCACCTGGTCGCTGGGACGGGGACTGGAACTGCGGCCCTTGGGCTGGGCCTCTGCTCGTATTGGACGCTAATTGCTGACAACGATTTGCTATTGATTGCATTTTCACGCTGCTTGCGTGCTAAGAGCACACAGAGAGCAAAGTCAAAGGACATGCCGTGTGACAAGGTAACCTTATTGATTTTATGTCCATGCCAAGAATAACCAAGGAGTCCGTTTTTATGTAACTCAAATCGCTTTTGAATCGACTATCCACAACTTCATTGACCACCACAAATATCAGCCCCCCAACCGCCAACGTCCCCAAGTTCAGAGCTGAAATATGCCGCGCCTCAATCCATGTTGAGTTCGTCAAGTATCTTGTTTTGAAGGGTCAACTACGTACTAGTAACTGCTCAAAGCTGATGATCTAATAGTGGAACATTTGAGGATCTATCAGTGCTAGGTGCTGAGCTTTACTGGTTTAGCTTTCCGTGTTCTTTCCACCTTGCATTTTCATCCAATTCATTCATTATTCTGCTGATGTTTCCCTATCCTCTCTTTAGTCCACTGTCTCACCTCGTATCCTTTCTGTTGAAATTCCCAGACGCTATGCTGATAAACGTTTCCCACTCGATTGGACAATCCGCATCTTAAGAATCACTTAAATTATATGCCCTATCCCGCCGGCAGCTAAATGCCTCGCACGCTCGTCTCGTCTCGTCTCGTCTCGCCTCGTCTGGGCACGCTCTGGGGGGGAAGTCCCGACGACAAATTAGGCGGCAAATGCGAAAAAAGGGGAGACAGAAACGGAGACGAACGGCAACGGAGACGGCAACGAGCAAATGGCAATAGCATTTGCCAAGTCGGAGCCAATTTTTCACACTATACGGAAGTATTATTTGGGTCACATTTCCTGCTGCTTTTAATTAAAATCTTCCCCTGGCGGAAGTACAAATTTCTTGATGTTACAAAACGCTGAAAATGCTGCCCTGGACACGGTTGTTGGTTGTGCCCGTCCCCTCTCTCTCTCTCCCGCGAAAGGGAATGAATGGATGGTGTCCGGGATGGAAGATGGTCGAGGGTAGAGTAGAGGGGTTGACTGGCTTAGTGACTTGGTCAGAGCTAAGTCAAAGCCGAAGGTGGTTGCCGACCCAAGCCCGAGCCTGAATCCGACCCCGACCCCGGCCCATCCCGGCCGCGACCCGACCCAACCCAACCCAACCCTACCCGACCCGACCCGAAGTACACCAAATCGCATACAACCTATTGCCCTTCATAATGCCACAGGGGTGCGGGTAGCGGGGATGTGGATTGTGGGTGTAAAGTAGGAGGAACTGGCGGCAACGGTGGCAGTGGCGGCCAGATGATTTCAACTGAGATTGAAGATAAAACACATGCGCTCATCACGTTTGCTGTTTTGTGCCGTTTCTGTTTGTGCTCTTCGTGCTTCGTCGTCTTCGTCTTCGTCTTCTTCTTTTGCTTCTTCTCATCCTTGTCCTTAACGCTATTTTCCACACATACATAGACACAGCGCAAGGCCGCACTCACACACACCCATACAGAGAGAAACAATCACAATCACAGGCACTTGGCGCTTCCTTCGGCCACACAGCTTTCTGCTCCTCTGTGTCTGCTTCTGCTTCGTTGTCTCTGTCTCTGTTTCTGTTTCTGTTTCTGATGCTGCTATTCTCTGCTGTTGGCTTTGTCCCCGCTGGGAAATGCGCATCGCCAGTGGCGAACAAATATTTCGTTCGTTTTTTCTTGTTTTGTATATTTATTTTTATTCAATTCCAGCAGCGCCCGTGTGCCACAGAGCAGCCACAATGTATTCCGTTGAAGTTTTTTGTCTTGTTTTATTTTTGTGTGTGGCATCTCAAATATGATTCTGTTATTGCCTTAATTGGAAATCCAAGTTCCAGGCTTCACTTACCCAAATTGAACTGGGCCAGCGACATTCTTCACAGTTTCAGCTTCAGTTTCAGAACTTAATGTATGTACATTCCATTAGCAGGCACAAATAAACAAAAATGGCAATCTTGCCGCAAGCAAAAACACATAGCACATTTTTGAGGGCTCTGCAATTGGGAGTTTTGGAAACTTTTGGTAGCAGTTTTTGGGTTTGCTTTGGGTCTGATTTCTTCACCTCAAATCGATGGTAATATAAGTATTTTTAATATAGTGTTTCCTACTGAAATATAACTTTTTCTTTGCCCAATCAATCTGATCCTTCACCCTGCCGATGAGTGGTATTCCCAAGCCGCAATGATCGCTTTCGCCTGCTTCACATATGTAGATCCCAAGCGGCGCCACCTCATTTCCCAATGGGGGTTTGGTGCGGTTCGTTTCGCTTCGGCCAGTGTTCGGGTTCGTTCAGGTTCGCTTCGCACTGCGGCTGCTGCGGCTGAGCTTTCTTCAATGAACATGTGTGTGTGAGGCGGAGGCGGAGGCGGAGGCGGACAGGGACAGGCGACAGTGCCTTACTTTGGGCTTGGCTAAAACATTTTTTTGTAACAGTCGCGCACGCCCTCCCTGCGGCTCACCCCCACACACACACATACAACCGCACGCACAGCTGTTCGGCTGGATTCGGCGGGGGTTCGACTTTCGGCTGTTTGGCTCTCGGCTATCGGCTCTCGGCTGATAAGCTGCTGCTGCTGCTGCTGCTGCTGGCTCCTGGCTCCTGGCCTGGTCCTCAGTGCCAAACTGTCAATCGTGTAGTGCGGTCATGTGGTGCGGAGCCAGTGTGCGCTCTCC